TTAATATCTTACAATTAATCTGAAGAGGAAAAAATTTGGTAAAAATAATGCTTGAACAAATCTCTCACACAAGACAGCTTTTAGGTTTTCGTGTTTCTGAATGTTTTACTGTAAAAAGAAGCTACTTCTTTGCCTTCAAAAGAATCGGAAACTTGCTCGAAATTCCACAAGACCAAAATATTATTGTACTGTATTCTGGAAAACTTGTTAATTCTTTTAATTTTTATAAGCTACTAACTTTAAGCGGAAAAAGTAAATTAGTACTACCTTTTGAGTGTAAGATCAAAGCACCAAGAAGAAGAACTTGCAATAAATAGCTCATTTTCATTTCTGCTCAACTAAACTAACAAATTTCTTTTGTACAAACAGTACAAATTTGTCCAGCACAGTTTAGACACGAATGCACAACCTTAGATCGAAATATTCTGCAAACATTGCTTTGATATTATCAAATAAAAGACAGAAACGATTACCGCCATCATTGTTGTAACAACTGATCCTCAAACATTTCCTCGACATGCTTAAATAAGCGTACAACACTGAACAAAAAAAGGCACAAAAACCTCCCTTAATTATGCGCTCATTCTTTCGCCTTCCTATTTTAGTTAGCAACGGAAATGTGATTTTTTAAATGTGAAGAATGAATAATTTTGCCTTCCAGTCTTTGTGCTGCTGGCAGTAAAGAAAAAAACTGTGCTGCATAGTGATTTCTTCCACTTATTATTAATTATATAACTGTGATAACTATATTGTTATTTGAATTTTATTAAATTACATACTTTATATTATAAATCCATGCTGTGCGCAGAAAATACCTGTGTATCAAATAAATATTAAGTGCAGAAATTTCTAGATAGTTTTTTGCAAGACCTAATCGCGCGGCATTCAAATGAAGATATAAAAATGAAGTAAGATGGGAGGGAGATTTGATACGAAAAAGTGTTTGGTTTGAAATCTGTTCAAAAGAATCTTCTTGTTACAAATCTGACATTCGGTAAATTATAATTTAAACTTGATAGAAAAGGATAAGTAAGCTGCACTCAAGAATTATGCTTGTTGCAATTTATATTACACATATAGCCTTTCAGATAGCCTATTTCATACTCTCAATTATTGCAAAAAAACAAACCATCTAGTTCTGCTCCAACAAATAAACATCTTTGTATTTCAAGTAATCTCAATACTTCCTACAGAAACAAATCCATCAAGTTAAGAATCTATATCTTGATAATCGATACTAGTGACTACAGCAATTATTACTAGAAGCAGCAAGTCTGAGTCTTGCTTCACTACCTTAATTTTCCTAGCTGACAGTTTCTACAATCAAAAATGAAATCAAGGATTTTAAGATTACCTTAGACAGAAGTGATAATGGTGTGTTTTATTTCTCGAAAACAGAGATTAAAACAAATCTGAGAATTAAATAATCATCTAAAAATTCAAAATCACTTGGCAATGTGTAGAATTCAGAAAGTCATTAAAGTTTCATTATCCTGGAAGTATAATTTAAAAGAAAAATATAACGAAGTTAGACTTCGCCTTTTCCGTTATAAGTATTGTTTGATTCATTCAACGAACTACAGAAAGATAACTTTTATTGTCTTTCATTTCATGCAGTACTCTTATTAGTAAGTAAAGAAATTTGCATGATGGAAAAAACAAAAGAGTCTGACTTTGTGACTTTGTTATACTTTTAAATTAACAATAACATGTAATAAAGACAAATTGCAAACAATACACGAAAACTCCTCAAAACTTTATAATCTAATAATTAGATTAAGAGAATAAAAGGAATCACATATATAAAACTGATGCGTGGACAAAACGTTAAAAAATTATGCTCGACTTGTGTTTGACTGAATGAACAACAATTAATAAGCGGCAACCAATGTGGATTTTCTGAAGTCTGAAATTTGTGAGCATAAATTACTAGGCTTAGAAACCCTTAAGTTGACATCCAGTTTATACAATGAAATTTAGAAGCTAAGTTACTAAACTGAATTTACTTGCAGAGTTTTTTATTGTAATGTTAGAATTTGTAAGCTGAGTTTTTAAGAAGTTTATTTCATCACGTGATTCAAAAAACAGAACTGCTTGGAGGACGCGAAAGAGAAACTAAAGGTGAACATGAACTTTTATAATCGTGTATTTCAATGTCTGCAGCAGATTTGGAGCCCTTAGAGTCCTGAAAAAAAATAGATATCAAATAAATACTTGAAAAAATCTTATCTTCTTTTTGAAGCGGATGATTTCTTCTTTTTTTTGTAAACATGACTAAATTATACAAATGCTAAAGTTGATAAGGCTGAAAAATAATGAGGGTTGAACAGATGCTTGTATTTTCTAGTTTTCAATCCATTCACAATTGAAAATTAAGAAACACAAAAATAATAAAAGAATGCTACTAAGTAATTACGAAGTAGTTTTCAGCGAAAGAGTGCCATAAACCAACGGCAATATCACTTGCTATAATACTTCCTGCCTTCTTGTCAACAAAGCGTAACAAGAATGCACCATCTAAGCCAAGGAACTGAAAAAAATGTTGCAAAGTATTGTCAAGTAATTGTCAAAAAATGATTTCAGTTCTATCATAACATGCCAAAGTGATCAGAATTTTTCAGAAAAACAAGATAAGCATTTACTTTATTAATATAGACATCCAAACACTTCTTGTCCTTCAGTAACATGTAATCCTTCTCATTCAGTTTACCATTCTGCAAATAAAATGTGTCTTCAAAAGTTATAGAAACGATAATTCGTTTCTAAATAAGACTTAACGTTAAACTATCCCAAAAAATAATAAATTAACATTAAACAAGGATTAAGCAAGGAAGCTGCTGCCCTGCAAACTTAAAATAGAAAAAGAATAAGCACCTGCAAACAAAGTTTGATAAAATTTGTGCAACATTGTTTGAGTCCATATTGTACACATGATATAACAAAATTCAAGATGGTTACAAATAATAGCTGAAAAGAAGAACGATAATTATGGATTAGAACAAAGTGATACTGGCAGAAAGATCAACTTAATTCTGTAGTTAGACATAGAGTAACTGATTAACTAAAGAAAGCTAATTATTTTATTGACGATTTTCAAGCACAATTCAGAGAGTTGAAGAAATTATCAACGCACCATTAATAGCCAGTACCAAAGCATGAAAAAAATCTTTTCAATTATAAAATTGAGCATTAATACACACTGCAATGTGCTCCTTTCATTTTCATTCACTGTTCTTCGTTCTAAATCACAGAATGTTACAACTGGAAAGTAATGCGATGCTTCTGTCATTCCAAAATACCTTTTTCCAGCAGCGATTGGCTGAAATATGAAATATTACAATGGCTCAAATATTTATTTTGGATAATTATATTCGCTACTAACGCTAGATCTTCTCATGATTGACATATGTGAACAAGTTATAAAAAGGATCATACACTGATAACATCAGATGTAAATACCGATCCGTGAAAATTTGACTTGCTTTAAGGAATAAATCTGTTCACAAAGACGAATAATTTAATATATTTAAGCTCAACAATATGTTTACTGTAATTTTATCAGCCAAACATTTGACGATTATGGCAGAAAATAAAATGAGATCATAAAACAAATATTTTCATAAACTTCATGTGACAAGTTAACTTCATCTAAATGATAAGTACAACCAAAATTTACAGTGAGTGCCCAGAAGAGACTTTCGAAGCCAATAAATCGACCAATAATATATAATTGCAAAGCATTATTTATGATCGCTGTAAGTTTCGAGATCAAATAAAGTACCACGGACAAGCCATTAACTTTGCCCAAATAACAGTAATGCCATTTCTGAAAAATTATAACAACTTTAGATTCTGGAACAGCGAGTTTGTCATAAACGGACTATATTGTAATAGCTCCGTGAAGAATTTATGAAAGTACTGCTTCACTATACCGGAACCAAGGGCCAGCATACTGAATATGCTCGAAGTACTAATCAAGTTTTGCAGAGCAGGTGGTGGCTAGGCGAGGTGATAAAAGCGGTTCTTTTCGAGGATGCCGAGAGGAAGATGTCGTTTTCTGTACTGTAAGAAATTTGTGAGTGTGTGATTGATTACCATCTGAGAATTGGAGAATTGTGTAATCACTAATATTGCATGTCGTTCATGCTTGCAAAAGCAGTTCTTACAGGAAAGCAAAGCGTGTCATTTGACGCACACTTCAAGAAAATTGTGCTTCATGAGTTTAAGGTTCGTCTGGAAGTTAAGCTGAAGTACCTAGTACTACTATAAGATGCTTAGAGACATGTGATAGACCATACGAAGTGGGCGCAGTGTTGGATATAAAATCTGAAAACTTTTTAGTCATCTTATCAAAAAAGTACGCAAAATGCATGAAACTAATCTACTAAAGTATTCTTTAATTTATGATATAGTATCTACTTTTCCTTAAACAATCCAAATACTGCTACTTCAATACCACATATCCTTAGAAAGTCGAGTTTACTTTTCAGACTTTATTTTTCTGAAGAGTAAATAAATTTATCGTCCACATAGTGTTTAGTTATAAACATCACAAACTGCTTATTAATCAGCCAGAATAAAACCAGCTTAGTTGAAGCACTTATAAAAGACAAAAGTAGTATATAAATGGTATAAAAAGTATAACCTTTTTATGCATAGCTATGCTTATCTTCAATTTCAAATCAGAAGCTATATATTGAACTAAATCCTTTAACTTTCTTGTTCGGTTCTCCAATTTTAATTCTCTTTTCAAAAATACGGCTTCTTTAACTGCTGCCTCCATATCAAAAGCTAAAAAGAAATTATTTGCAATTGAAACTTAAGGAAACTGAAGTATAAAAAACGAGTTTGAAAATCAGAATTGCAAGAAATAGCGCAAAATGCTTCACATCTCTGTTTTTGTAATATTGTCCATAACCAAGCAGGAATTTGAAAGCATAATGCTTGCATTGCCAGAAAAAGCGGTATCCACTGGAAAAATAAATTCAATGTTTTAAAAATAGTCTAAAGTTTTTATGCCAGTGACTAAGATAGAATATTTTTTACGCAATTTTTTATCCAAATTACTTGACTCATTTCGATTTAACTTTGAAAGTTCTGCTAACCTTAGCAACACTTTCATTGCATAGTTAGAAATTCATTAAATAGTATATGTATCTCAAAAGCAATTTCTAGCGCAAAACTTTCATTCTTTACTACAGTTAATTCAAAATACAGAACAAATCAACCTGGTAATAATTTATTCTAGCATTAGTTTGAGGTTTCATCCGATCGTTAACGTTTGGTATTGTCTTATTGTAAGTTAAACGGTAAGTTCCTTCAATCAGACAGAAGTGCTGAGTATAAGCATTCCAAGATTTTCCTGAAAATGGAACTCAATCTTAGTTCGATTATCAAGGCTTCTTAATACGTAGTATGAGTATAATCATCAATGATTACTGGTTATCAAATTAAAAAAACCTACACTAACCCTAATCTAGTACCAACACTACTATAATGCGACCTTGATCCATAACATAAATGAATTTCTATTAATTGAATTAAAATGAAAAGTGAAAAACTAGAAAACATACGATCAAGATGGGCTGGAAGCATACACTGTATCGGTTGTCCAAATTGTTGCTTTGTACCCACGAAAAGTGCAAAAATCATTATAATAAATGAAGTAAAAGAACAATGTAAGAGATCGACAACGTCATACAAGCAACTTTCACGTTTAGTTGACGTGAAAGCGAGAAACTTATCAGGTAAAAGGATTTCCATAAATACGCAGTTTACAATATGCAGGATATTATTTCTATATCTGAAAACTTGAAATTAAAAAAATTTGTAATAACATTCCTACGAAAACGTAAAAAGTATAAAATAGTACTAAATGTGAAAGTGGCAAACACTTTGACACTGAAAAATTTTTCAAAGTAAAAATTATCTTCAAATGTTTTCAATAGAAGGCTGCGCTAAAAAGTACAAAATACAGTTCGATAAATTTTTAAAAATTGTCCAAGAAGTTGTAGAAAAGTTTGAAATACGTGAAAACGTGAAAAAAATTAGCTTAAAATAATTGAAAAAAGCCATACATTTTTTGGATAAAAAGGCATAAAATGTGTCTTTCTTTGTGATATCTTTGCGGCATTTGTTGCAAACTGAGTACTAAGAAGGAAATGGATATACCATTCTATCGCACTTTGCCTGCTTGCTAGTCATATGACTGACTGTTCTGCTTGTGCATTTCGTGTATTATCGATTTCGTTTCTACTTTTGATTTGAACAAAAAAAGACGTGGCGTGCGTAACTATGGAAATCTATGTCAAAATTAATAACACTGTTACAACGGAGTTATTTTTTTCACGTAGATATTCCATGAATACCACTTTAAACGCAACTTTTACACCACACAAACACACACACACGCACAAACACATAGACACATACATACACACACACACACACACACACAAATACTGGCACTCAAAAGTAACTGCGTAAGCCCGCAAAAATATCACAGGTACTTCGTGAATTCAGTTTAAAACGTCAACTTGTGCACATACATACATACAGACCAAAAATTGGCAGCACAAACATTTCCACTGCTGCAGTAGAATTTGAATATGAAAATTTTTAAATTGTAAAAGGTTTTTTTTTTACCCTTAACAATTTAAAAGTATAGCTGACAATGCATGCAAACTTTCACAATTACTTGAGAGATAAGCAAATATTTTTAAATGATTTGCTCACATAATTTTGCTTTAAAAGCACCAAAATTTTTGCACATTCATTTACAAATAAATGACATACTCCTTACAGCTATTCAACTTGAAATTTTAAATTCAAAAAATTTTAATTGTTGTGTAAAACATTTTCAAGAAAAATTTTTGAACTACATTACTACGTTTTTCTTGGAATAATTTTTGCCGCAATAATTATAGAATGAATGACTTTCAACAACGATATACTCCATATCACAGCGTATGGTATTTCTGTTCGTTTCTTTTCTAATCTTTTTTGTTACAGATTCTGACGACAAAAACCTTTTTAATTCGTGGCAAGCAGTAATGTATTTCATATTAAAACCAATGAAATGCTCAGATGCAAACTTGTAGTAAATTGCCTGAGGTCAATGAAATTTAATTAATAGTAATGAAAAGTGCTCCTAATATATTTAACACATGGCAAGTAAATATTCCTTATATTTTTCTATAATAGGCTTGAATTATAAAAAATATCATTGTTATTATTATTTCTATGGAAAGTAAATTGCATGAGCTGATGTAATCCAAATACATTATGATATCAACTTGATTATTTTCCAAAACTAACAGTAACCCCAACTAATGCGATACAAAAATTTTTTCAACTGCAGCATTTCTTCCAGTTTAATCAAAGTTCAAAGGTGAAGGAGTGCTCATTTGGTCATTTTTAAAGAGCAAAAAATGAATAATTTTGTCAATGAAAATAAACTATAAATTATCACTACTATTTTATAATCCATCATAAATGTAAAAGTTTATTAAAGGTTTTCAAATAAATTGTTTTAGGTTATTTTTTTTAGAAAAAAGTGAAAGCAATCCGAAAAGCTATGTTAAAAAATTGTATAAAAATTAATGCAAAAAGTTTGATTTTAAGCTTTCTATATTATATAACTGCGTAGTTAATTTTTGTATTACTAACGCCTCAGATTGAAATACGCATTTCAGCTTCAATTTTATCAAAAAAGCAATTTTTTTGAAGATTATTATTTCTTCTGAAGAACATCATTGAGTAGGGAATGCATGAAAAGGCCTCGCTGATAATGCTTCATGCTCATTACAG